GGGCTTCTCCCTCTGACGTCACGGCCCCGTAGGAGGGCGGGGTCAGTATTTTTACCTTCCGGAAAACTAGTAACGGGAAGGTAACGGGGTAAACGGGAAAAACACGGGGAAAGAGAAAAGAAAAACAATACAGGAAATAATAATGGAAAAATAATTTAAAAAACAGTAACAGAAAAGGAAAAACTAAAATGAAAAGCAACTCTGAGTGCTTCAAACCGAACACGCAGCCCTGACACGCCCGTTCCGTGACTATTGTCACGATTTAACTAATGAAATAGATTCAACACAGTCCTCCCGGTCTGTTCAAAGCAGCACCATGCTTTATTAATTAATAAAAGACAAGACTGAGTGTTTTAGTCTTTTGCTTTTTTTAAAGTACACTGAACAGGATATCAAGCCCCTCTATCAGTTCACCCCAAAAAACTTGGTTCTTATCCTTTTCACTGTATTTATTTCTTAGAATAATTCTAATGGAATGATCCAATATGGAAAATGAAAACAAACATAACGCCAAACTAATTTTGCCTAAAATACAGCGTCACACCCATTCTGCACATAGGAAGCACAGACACGCTGTGCTGCCCTGCCAGGTGTCCCTAAAGAATTCACTGTCAGCCCCAAATTTTGTGGCATCCAGCTGGAATGCAAACAGGCACCAGGGGCCCATCAGAGGGTGGGGAGGGACAGAGCCCTGCGGAGCCTGTTGAGTCAGCAGCCGTGTAGAGACTCCATAGCTCATGGGAATTTTGTGTTTCCCTCGTTACTTCAATTTAGGCCATTAGTGAGCTGAAAGCCCTTCGCTAGGACATGGCTGTCTGATAGCTCTAAAGAAATAAAATGATTCGTTCTGGTTCCACGTGAGCTGGGGTTTACTAAAGCAGAGAACTCAAAAAAACCAGAGCACAAGCTGGCTGGCAGCTTCACGCTTATTCAGCCTACAAAGCTCCTGGCAAACACTCACAACCAGAAATGTCTTTTCAAGTTAAGTTTGAGACAATGACAACATGCTACATCCTATTTGTTCCACAACATTCTGTAGGCATTTTGAAGTCCTCTCAGTTCAAGTTTCCAAGGGAACCATGTTTATACACAGTAAGTAAAAGCTCGCATTGACAAATGGACAAACACATGATGGCACTTTGATATGACAGAAGTATTGGAATAGGTGTTTGTTCAGAGCAAGAAAACCAAACCCACAGCAGATTCCAAGAAAGTGATTTATTTCCACTTGTCCTTACAAGTTAAAGACAGTATGCTTTTCATTAAAAAACAGTATCATGTACTATTTAGAAAATGATTACACCTTTCCTGTCAAAGAAAATACACCCAATTGTGACCTCCTGTCTACCTTTTAAGGATAGGTGGGTTGGTTTCTTTCTTAAGAGTAATCCTCAGAATGTATCAGCATAAAACGCATATAGGCGAGGATAAAGTTACCAGCAAATGGATAAATGTTCCTGTATAATTAGACATACATTAACACAGAGGAACTCATCCACCAACTAGTGCTCCATGGGCTCCTCTGCCTTTTCTGCAGGTTCGTCAGCAGGCGGAGCAAGCTTGAAGAGAGAAAAAAATATATATTATAAAAGGGCAGAAAACAACACTTGACAGATCAGCTTTATCCTGGACTGAGCATCATGAGTGCACCATGTGGCTCGTGTCAGCACACAGCTCACAAAGCAGTGTTACCCAAATTAAGCATGGAGCAGGACAGAGCTGGTAATTAGACAACTAAAAATGCATCCTGGGGCAGGCATGAGAAACACAGGCAGCCCATGCTCCCACAAAAAAATGAAAACCAGTACTTGATCATAGATGAGGAAAGAAGGTAACTGTCAACAACTCAGCATGTATCGATTCAATAGGCATCTCAGTCTCAGCTAAGATTATATGGTTTGCACACTCCTAAAACTCTACTATAATATTAGAGAGCATTCAATGTTGTAAACATAAATGGGATGTGTCGTATTTAAAAAGTGTTGTCTTTCAGCAAGGCCTATTTATTCATATCTAACACACATACCTTTCTCTGTGGTCTCTCCTCAAGACCTTCTAGGAATGGTGCTACATCATCATCGTCATAGATGGTGAACTCCATGTCTTTGCCAACAATTCCAATGGAAACGTTCTGTTAAGCAAAGTTTTGAAAAAAGTGAGAAGCATTTTTCTGCTGGTAACTCTGTGGCTTTACAGCTTTGCCTGTGAAATGGGTAGAAGTTTCCTCCTATGATAGAGAGACTCATTGTGTTGTTTGTGTCTACTTAAGGAAAACAGGAAATTTTGAGAGGCTCCTTCTTTGTTAGGTTGTACTAGAAAAGGAAAGGGAGGCAGGTTTACTCCCTACAAAAGCTACCATGTTTCAGAATCTTGTAAGTAAAGTCAATTTTCAAGGACTTCAATTTCTTTCAATTTTTTGTTTTATTTTTAATAGCATATATGATTTTTTCCACACTTTAATCTTATTTTGCATTATTATTTTAACTTTTAAAAGACAAGGTGGGCTAAGAATAAAATAATTTAAACATGGAAAAGGGTAGATCAGCCACAAGCAGAACACCAACTAATGGAAATCCTTAAAATTTTCTTGTTCAACAGTTCCCCAATTCATTGTCAAAAGCTTCTGCAACTTCTTCAACTTGATGCTGAGGATACTCAATCAACTGCTTGTGCATCACCTTCCCTCACCTCCCAGGTGAATTACTGACTGTGCTTACAATGCAAAGTCATGATTCTACTTGCATGTAACGTATCTTAAACACTGAACAAAGTCTAAAATAGAACAAAGTAACCAGGGAAACAATGTCTTATTTAGAGAAAGTATATTTTTTAAGAAAATTAAATCTGAGATAATTAAGGAAACTGTAAATAAAATGCTGACGTATGAAATGAAGATGATACTATCTACCAGTGTTCAGCTTCCAAATTTCAGTGCCAGCTATATCTTATATGAATTTTCTCACAGTAATTTCTAATAACAACGGCAGGAAAAATTCTTGTTAAGAAAACCTGGTATTTACCTTGGTGGTCAGATCCTGTTAAGCAGGAAGAGTCTCTCTGAGGGCACGCAGTCCATGTTTAACTAGCTCATTTAGATTACCTTAAAATGAAATCAAAGACATTTACTAAATACATGTTAAATACATCTCTAGACACTCACTTCCCCTTCTTCCTACTCAACAAGAAAGACACCCTGGCTCGCCTGACTTCCAGAACTCCGCTCCTTCAGTACTACTGGTACTAATCACAGCGTTGGTTATAAAAATATATACCCTGAGAAACCAACCCTTCCCTACTTTTGAGTCTGGACACGTCTGGTTTTGGCACCTGCTCTGCCTCCAGTGCAGTGATAACCACACTACTTTTTGCCTAAGAAGCCATTCAGTCGCCTCCTCATCACTGCTTCATATAAAAATAAATTCACCATTTTAAACGCCATCACCTAAATAACTGCCCTGACATACTGTCCCTGCTCTGATATGGAAAGAATTGTTCTTTCCCTGGGTTAAAGAGGGCAGAGGCCTTTCCTCTGTTTTTCTGAGCACAACTTCTCTTTTCATTAGATATAATAAGCATTTAGATGTTAAGACATGAAGATTTGTAATATTTGCTTTACCACTTTCATCTTGATGCAGGTTTACCCTTATGCCAAACTTGGCTGTCCAAATTTATCTTCTTGCCTTACTAAATGCAAAAGAACGGAGCAGCAGCAGAAAAACTGCATAATTACAAATACCATTAGATAGACATGGCTTCATTACTCACAGTCAGTAAACTCAGTCATGTGTCTCTCCAAGTAAGTTCGTGCTGACTGTGAACGAGCACCAATGGACATTGCTTTGCAGTCAAAATAGTTTGCAGAGGGACAAGTCTGGAAGATGTGAGGACCCATATCCTACAAAGAGGGAAAAAATCCACAAAACCTAAAACAAATGTATAAATTCATACCAAGTCTGCTGCTGGAACACATGGTGTTTCCTAAAACAATAGTTTTGATTCATGGTACATCACATAGCTCATATTTGCACACACACACA